ATGAGCTTGTTACTTGAAACTTTTTTTAAAATTTTATTTTCAACATAATTATTGATATTTAACATCTCATTGTTGCAAGAAAAGAAATACATAATATAAAAATTATATGTTATTTATTTGAATAAAATTATTGTCCCAACCATTACATCTAACACATGATATATGATGAAATTAATTATATGAATCGTCATGCTTTTTAATAATATATATATATATATATAATAAATATGAGATATTTAAGATTCGCATTAGAATTTATAATTTGGATAGAGATGAAAAATTTCGAATATGTTTTGAAAAGTGTAAAGTCTTATTATTTTTGTGTTGGGTTCAACATCAATAACTGATTTAATTTTATTTGGATTGACGACATAATATGGAATTCTTATGTACCATAAACTAAATGATAGTTAGATAAATACGAAAATGAGTCAATCTGTATAAAAGTATACGAAGAAGTTGATGCTCTGATGTACTGATAAATAATATTTATATATTACAGTTATGGGGTTAATACATACTATAATATATTAATTTGTTGAAAATGCCATATGCAAATTAACTTTAGAAATATATCGTAAAACGTGTCTATATAAAATATGAACAATATCTAAAATGTTATATAATATGCGTAAAAACATATAAATTAATATAGAATATGTAAAATATTTAAAATGTTCTATATTATTCTAAAAAAATGTGTGAAATCACCTAAATTTTTCTAAACTATTATTAAAGAAAACATATCTAAGAAATTGTTAAATATTATCGCACGTTGATTTATGATGTTCAGTATTTATAAAATTATTATATTTATTTGAGTACTTGATGTTGGACTTTGTTATCTCTTTAACTTAGTTAAAGAGTTTAAATCTTGTGAATCAAAATTCTTCTATTAAATTTATGAAAATTGATCTTTTTATTATTCATATATTGTCAAAATACTTCTCTTAACATTTTAAAGCTACAATTTATATGATAATGGAACTTTTTATATTCATTTAGACTTTCTCTTTAAAAAAAATAAAGTAAAAATAAGATAAGATAAACTTGGTACGTATGCATCTAAATAAAATAAAATAAAATTGGTATATATAGAACTATTCAGTAACTTTGTTGTATAATTACATTTTATATTCAAATAATTCATAGATTGATTTTATATTCAATAATAAATATTATTTTATATTCAAAATTAAACATTATCAAATTGTTTGTGTGACACAAATTTTATATTCAAATTTAAATTTCATCAATTTGTAAATCTGTTGTGTGATTTCGTCTTGTCGATTTTCCAATGTTAATTTGTATGATGTTTACTATTTACTATCTTCTTACTCCATCCGTTTAAGAATAAATATCATTTGAGTTTGTAATATTTATGATTTTGAAATGTCGTTTTAGATGTATTTATGCATTTTATTTTTTCATCCTTATCATAAATCTTAAAAAAATCTCATATTTGGTT